ATTAAAAAAACCCCACAACATTTCTTCAGCACCTACTCTGTGTGGATAATACTGTTAGACACTTTAAGGATATAAAGTCAAATAAAACACCTGTCCATATAATTTGGTGGGGAAGATAAGACAAAGACAAAGAAAATAACAGCACTGAAAAATATAAATTTCTTAAACTTTTTAAAGTTCAGTATCATTTTCAACTTCAAGATTTTTAACATGAAGCTCCTCAGAGTTAATAACATATTGTTTTTTAAAAAAAATATTTTTATTGATTTCAGAGAGGAAGGGAGAGGGAGAGATAGATAGAAACATTAATGATGGGAGAGAATCATTGATCAGCTGCCTCTTACACAGCCCCCACTGGGGATTAAGACCGAAACTCAGACATGTGCCCAGACTGGGAATAGAGCTGTGACCTCTTGGTTTATAGGTCAGCACTCAACCACTGAGCCACACCAGCCAGGCAAGGTATTGTTTTAAGAAAAAATTAGATTTAGTGACTGACTTGCCTAGCTGAGATCTCAGCAAAGCTTATCAAGCTAGACTAGACACAACTTTCTTAGAAAAGGGACTAATGAAAATTGACCTGGAATTGTGAATTTCAATACTATTTAAGAGTATTTCTCATTTCTATGTGTCCCAAGTTGTATATTATGAGCTTTTTTTGAAGAAGGCAAGATCATGACTGATAAAGGAGGAAAGGATTCATGGATAATCTGAAAAGAGTGAATGGAAAAACAATGAATGAAAAATAGTCACAGAAAAGAATTTCAGAGAAGGAATAATGAGAATATGTAAGAGACAATAGAAATAAAAGATATTCCTATTTAGGAAACTAATTTTTAAAACTGTACATATGAATTATTTATTTAAATGATGATGTTTGAATTATGTGTTTAAATGATGTTTATCCGGTGGTAGTAATGTAAAATGAGGTTTTAATAAGTAGGAGGTACTTTTAAAATTTTATGATAGGCACTTAGACAAAGGTAATTGAAGGGATTCTAGAAAAGATATTAGAAAAATCAAAGTGATAAAGCTCTTAATGTAAATAAGAGATAAGATGTATTCTTTCTACTGATTCCTAAGACAGAGTGTAGTAATGTCCCAAGACATTATGCAGCTTAATTTTTCTGTTTATGACAATATGATATTGGGATGGCTTTGACATTTAATTTTTAAAATTTAGCTTAATTAATCAAATCTGAGTCACTACTAAGGGATTAGCCTCACAGACCAGCTCTGACCAGTGAGCTCAACAGGGATTGGCTGAGCACCAAATGAGCTCATCAATTGAGCATTGTGTCCTAGGGTGCTGGGAGAGTATAAAAGGGGGCGAATAAGCCTGGCACACTGGCTCTTCAAGTAGTTTCTGAACATGTAGGCAGCAGGGCATATGATAGGTAAGTAGAGAAGAAAACAAGTACCAGGTACTGTAGTAACTAAGTGTCCGAGTTAATGTGAGTGGTCAGACTGAGTACTGATGTTAGAGAAAGGTATGTGTGTGGGGTTATGAAGGGGTGAGAGGAGGTGGAGGGGTAATGGGAGATGGGAGGTGGGGGAAGATAGGGGTAGGGTTGGGGTGAGGAGAGGTGGGAAGTGGGAAGGAGGAGCAGTGGTGGGGGAATGGGGATTTGTATTGGGGGTGGAGAAAGGATGATCTCTTTGAGTTGGGGTTGAGTTTAACCTTAAGTGCTTAAGTAGGGGGCAGAAATTTTGAGTAAGGCAGGAGGGTGGGAAGGGAATAGGGAACGTCTTGTTTATTGTGGAGATAATCATAATATGTCTATTTAAGATTGGAAAAGCAGTAAGAAGTAAGTTGATATCATATTTGCTGGGGGAAGCATAGTTTAAATGCCGAAGAAAAACAAGTAAACCTAATCTCCAAGGTTACAGGAAGTTAATAAGGTAGGTACAAAGATTCCTACTAAATATTTAATGTAAAACAAGCAGCAACAATAGTTAAGAAAATATTCTCCTTGTTTCCCACATTTGCAGTACCAAACGTGTTTTTGTAATTAGAAAGAGGGAGAAACTAAGAGGTTGAACCATAAAAAGTACTGAATGCTCTACACGCCACTCTGGGAAGTGAAAGGGTAACTTTTTAGGTATTTGGGCTATTAGAGTGAAGGCAAAAATAAAACTCAACAAAAAACTCCAAATACAAGGCAAAATTAGGGAAATGATTGAGGTTCTTGCATTTCAAGGGCTCCAAAGAGCCCTTTTTCATGGCTAAATGTCTGAGTACAGCAGTCTTTGGTAGGGTTATTCCCAGCCGAGATGGCCATTTATACAATGGCAGCCATGTCTCATTACAGAGAGTCCTGTTTCTGATGGAAATAGAAGTTGGCAGGGCTAGTTCTAAGCAAGGTACTTAGCCTCTCTGAACCTGTTTCTTCATCTGTAAGGTGCTGCCAGTAGTAGTCTTGACATCACAATAATGGCTTTTATAATGTATACATATTGTGACACATGTTGAGTGCTTAGCAACTGTGGTTGGTAGATAGCCAATGGTCAATGTTACAGTCATCATTAATACTTTAAAGAATAAATTTATCTTCTGACCTAGAATTATTTCTTATATTGCCTTAGATGTGATTAGATGCCTCTTTGATCTGGGTTTGGACTAAAACCCACACCTAAATTTGAACTAAACTGAACTGAGTTTGGTGGCATGGTGGGGCTGGGGGTGTAGCAGGGTGGGAGACAGAGGTGCAAGGTGTTGTGGCCACAAGAATATTAAATTCCACGTCAGCTTCTGGTTTAATTTGGCACTGACTGCTATTCAAACAAAGCAGCGTTGTGAGTGTCAGAGGAAGGGAGAGGAGAAAAATCAACACATTTTTGGAAATAAGATGTGGCTTTTGCCTTGACTATTTTGTTTTTTCTTCAGCCACAAAAATATTTCTTTGCTCTGGGGCTTACAACGAAAATCCCTTCCAGGACACTGTACAAACCTAAATTTCAGAGGAAACTTCCATTTAAGATGACAAGGAATTATCAGGATTTCCCTTGATACTTGTTTAATAGGAGAACCTCTCAGAGAGTATTATCTAGCCTTAGAAGAAATCTTTATATAATATACACTTAGAGTCCCCCTTACAGTTATTTCCTGTAGCTTTGGCATATGTAGTACTTGAAAAGTTGATGTATGCTATGGTATATCTCCTGGTGACCTTGCCTCAGTGCTAATAGGATTATAGCTGTATCATTTACCCATTCTCTGCATGTATTCATGTATTAGGCTTTTGTAATTTTAGGATAAAATTCTAGGGTAAAGCCTGGCAGTACAAGTAATTCATTCTCCAATAGTTGCTCTCTAGGGCCTCAGACATCTGGCAGGATGCTAAAAGGAGCTGGTCCTAGGTCAATATTCGAAGCACAGGGAAGCTCTGTGTGACCAAATCAAAGGAACAGTCCTGTTTTCTGGTATACGTTTAAAGCAAGGTTTCAAGTAAAAAGGTTTGGGCATTCGTCTCTCACTTTTTGCCATAGCAATACTACTCAATGCCCATTTATGATGTTAAGCTTGTGTCAGTTGGCTAGGCAACTGTGGTCCTCTAGCAATAACACCCACTCACTAGACTATCAGCCTCTGCCTTCAAAGAGCTTACACTTTAGTTGAGGAACCAGACCTTACTTCATGTTCTGTGTTGTAACAATGTAGACCCACCTGTTCATGAAACATAACATGGGGACATGGAGCTACCTACACATATGATTTAAAAGGAAAAATAATACTGGCACAGTAAATTTTGGTTTTGCTATTAGCTGTGTGACCTTAGATGTCAGCCTCTTTATGATCAGCTGGTTCTTAATCTGAAAACCCAGTGGTTGGAATATAGAGTGCCTTTCAGTTTTAACATTTAAAAGGGGATCACATTTACCTGGCATTATCTGTAGCACCTTCCCTTTTTAAAAGTTTTCCCTAATGGCTGAACTTCCGCTTCAGCATTAATTACTTTTAAACACTTTCCCCTCAACTTTCCAATTACTTAGAGAATGAGAAGAGGAAATTCTAAAATGTATTATCAATCTGTCATACCTAGCTTGGAATTCTTTCAACAAGCGATTATTTCCCACAATCCTTTCATTTTTATGCTCTCTCCCCACCACATAAAACAACGCTCAAAAATTGAAAAGCACAAAACAAGTGAGAAACAAAGCAGCCTAATCCTGCCCCTCAAGTAAATCGCACTTTTCCCTTCAGTTTTTGTCTCAAAACGTGTGACTGCATGTATCGCTTCGCAGCCCGCTTCCTCCTTGGAAATACATTTCTTGTGGGTATTTTGCCATGTAATGAAAATGTTCTTAGGTCACTTGTAACTTTTTACTCTTTTCTTTCCTTCTAGAGCACTGAGGGCCGACGAGGCCGAATCTCAGAGCGGGCGCTGATGATGATAGAAACATGAAGTTATAAGAACCGCGGAAAGGCGGAGCGAGGGGAGCACCGGGGAAGATTTTTAGTGCAAAAAGGAAGCCAGGTCCACCGAAAGATCTAAGAAATTCCCAACACTAGAACCTTTGTATATAGTTTTCAGTAGCCTTCAGCAGGGGGCGCTCGGAAATTGTCGCACTTTCCGGGCAACCTTCAGGACTTCACCCTCTAGAAACTGAACAGTGTTTCCGGCTCTTCTCAGTTGCGGACGCTCGTAAGTGCTCGGCAGTTTCCGGGGAGACTCGGGGACGCCGCTTCTCGCTTCCACGGCTCTGAGCCCCAGTTCGGCGGGCAGGGTCCAGGGCTAGTCATGGCGTCCCCGTCTCGGAGACTGCAGACTA